CCAGTTAAATACTTCCTTCTAAGAGATAGGTTGTCTTTCCTGAGGTGGCAGCCTTGGTAGAGACAAGCTAGTGTGGAATTGATCTTTCCTCACTGGATGAAGGCGTAGGTGGTAGGGAATGCTAGTCAGTGCAGGGGAGGGATGAGAAGAGTTGGTCATGTTTCTTGGCTGCAAAGGGTGGAACTGGTGCCTTCTATCTATGCAGTTCAGGTGATATCCTAATCTTCTGGCTTGTTCTCAAAAGTGTTCTGGTGCCTGCTTTGGCAGCACATATACTAAAATTGAAAACAGTCCTTTTGGCCTTTTGAGTGTAGGTGACTCATAGTTCAGGAGGAATACTAATCCATTATCTGATACTAGGTACAAAGCTCTTAAGTCAGAGAATGGTGTGAGACATTGAGTGGTCCTTTTATGGCTCTGGGAAGAGAATTATGATAGAAAAATTGTATCTCTTCTTTTTCATTTGTACTCAATTAATAATATTATAGTCTCCCTTTCAAGGTCTTGGTATAAGTGGGCTCAACTCATTTGTTTCTTAGGGTTATGACAGGGAAAATCAGAATAGGCTGCCTTTAATTCTTCTAGAAATCTCAGAAGGCATTCTGATTTCTGATAGGGAGTAGTCAGTACAGGAACAAATACTAACTAAATGAAAGGTGGGAAGCAGAGTAGTTAATAGAGTATATGGAAGGAATTACATTATGAGAGACTCTTGTTCTATTGAGAATCACTAAGTTCACAAGACAGAAATCAAATTAGAACTCAGAATGTGCCCTTCTCCCAAAGGGAAATGTGATACCCAAGCTTAACCTCCCATAGTATCCCACATACACAGGAGAACTGCAAAAGCCCATTAACCCCTAGGTTCAAGACAAAGTTTATAAACAGCTGGTACCCCAAATTCAAATTGCCTGGTATCAAGCAGTCTGAGTAGTCCACCACTGACAAGGTTTTCTTAGGCTTACACCATAAGAAGGGAGAGTAAGAGGCCAAGGGATGCTCTCAATGGAATCCAGCATCACTCTTCAGGTCCAGAAAGGGTTGACTCTCCCCAACATTCAAGTAGCTACTTACCAGCAGCAGCAACCAACACTGAGGTCACATTCTGAAAACATTTCTCAAGATGACCAGCAAGCCATTTTGACAGACTGACCATTTGGATCCCTTCCACAGGGGGTGTGTGGCTTTGGGGCAGGAATTCATTCTTTCCAGAACTGATTCATACTGTCAGTAAGAGTTTTCCTTGGCTATCCACAGTTCTTACACAAGCACTATCATTCAACCATTTACAGAACGGTCATCTACTGACATGGTATCCCATAAAGTGCTGTCCAAGGGAGATGCACTTTACCCTGAGATCCAGAGCCCTCATCATCCTTGATCTTCCAGAAGCAGGCAGCCTAATGAAATGGTCCATTGAAGCCTCAGATAGCTTTTTAGCTTTCAGAACATACCCTGTGGAGTTGTGGTAACATTAGATGGTGGTTTCACAAACAGCATTCATTCTTGTCACTATATGTGACCCCCGGTGAGACCAGAGGGAGAAACTGCCAAGCTGAATCCACCTCACATATCTAGTACACTGCATAGTAAGTGAATATAATGATGAAGACAATTATATTTGAAAATGGTTACATGATGACATGTTATTGATACAACAGGTGAGGCCAATTGTATCTGAAATGGTTTATAAAATGTGTCTGATAGAGGTGAAGAGAATACCTACTAAATTCTATCACATTCTGAAAAGAGCTTTTGAGCTTCTCTCCACAGGACACAACAAGAGGTGGCAAAACCAGTTCTGTTACTATCCAACACTTCTTTCCAACTAAATGAGACTGCAAGTGAGATATTTATTAGTTATCATCTTTGAAGGAGGAGTCCAGATTTTTTTTCTCTATGGCGAAGGATAGGCCAAGTGAGGAGGCCTCTGAGAAACTAGTTAGACATATCTTGAAGATGTAGCACCCCCTTCCCTAGCTGCTTGGTTATGAAATTATAGCTCCCTGTAGGTCGAACCTGGACAGAGAGTTTTAGGTGAATCCGCCATGTTTTCTTGGAGGTTGGAAGCCTGCATTAATATAGATACTGTTGCTGGCCTCTTAGCAGAATTCTGAAGGCAGAAATCTCCCTGGAGCAAAAACAACAGGGCATCATGTTTGTTATTCAGGATTGCAAGGGTATGAGTTTCCTGTGAATCCAATGAGTGTTACAGAAGGAAATAAACTCTGCTTGTGCTCTGCCTAAGGCTCTATAATGAGGGAGAGGATCCTGGCACTAAGAAGTTGTGGGTATTCCTCAAGAGGCAGGGACTGAGAAGTTAGAAGAGATTGAGGCCATGTCTAAGAACTGTGCAATGAAGAGGGCGCTGAGGGATCATACTTATCCTTGAGAGGGGTAGCATTCAGATGCCAGTGTGTACAAGGCACCCAGAACAAAGAGAGGGCTTATACCACCACTGAAATGTAAAAGAAACCAGGGGTTGAGGAGAGAGGAACCAGACAGAGGAAAGGCTCCACTTGGGTCCTGGGATAGGCTAGTGAATCTTTCCAGGATAAGCCACAGAAGAAACCAAAAATTGAATGTAGAAAGAGCAGATTTTAGGCATTTGCTGATGTCGCTGCCTTATGACAGTTTCAGTGAAGCAATAACCTGACTAGCTCCATTCTCACCCACTTCAACCCTGGAGAGAAAGTTACGGTTAGCAAGATGGAGAAGATGAAGTAGACACTTAAAGGACAGAAAGAGAAGGTCCCTCTCCCCCACTTTCTTAATTCCAAGCTCCTCATTGGTAGCAGGACTCAATTTGGAGAGGACAAGATACAACTTTAAATTAAACTAAGTTTTGTGAAAGCTGAACTTTGTGGAGCAAAGTTGCTGCATTTGCCTGCCTTTGCCACGTAGTACGCAAAAGTCTCAGTGCCATAAAAGAATAAACAAGGGCCAGGGAGATGGCTCAGTGGAATAAGTGCTTCCCTGGCAAGCGTAAGGGCCTGAGTTCAGTCCCTGGTTCTGAAAAAAAAAAACCCATAATAGAATAAACATTTATTTTTCACTGAAATTTATAAATGGCTGGGGTTGCTCTGCTTGGCATAAAACTGATCTTGAAGCAGGCTTTCTCCAAGTATTCTAGCATGATGTTCTTCATTACATGAGGTGTGAGGCAGAAATGGATGCCCCCCTCCTTTTTTAATTGCATTCAACTTTCACAGTGAGTGCCTCTTGATGCTGGAGCTGCTCTGCTTCAAGATGCGGGTCTAAGTCAGAACTAATTCACATGTCTCATTGTCTTCCCCAGTCTGGGGAGAGACTGGAAGCTTCTGCAGGGTGGGGGCACTTCCTCTGCATAGCAGCAGTTGGATCCAGGTTGCAGTTTCCCGCAATTGCAAATCCAGTGTCCTGAGACCTCAGAGATGCCAGCACCAAGTAGTGCTTCTCTCTAAGCTCTGAAGCCTGCTTTCACATGGCCTTCATCCAAGTCTAAATTGTAATAATTCCAGCATGTTCCCTTTATCCCCCTTGCTCTAGACATCTTATCTGCTTCCTACAGTTGGTACTTCTGTTATACTTTACAACCTTTTTCTGGCATTTTCAGCTGTCTAATAACATAATAAATTTTCTGTTAAAATGATCAGGGTGGATTGTTCCGTGACATCTTGACTGATTCAGTGGACTAAATCAAATGCCTGTGGGATGTCTCCCAAGAATTCCTTCTTTAATTTGCAGAGATGTGAAACAGTGGTGTGCCGGAGGTAGCGATGGAGATGCTTATTTTTAAGTGAGTACAAGGTAGGGAGGATATCAAGAAAATACCCCAAAGAGGACATTTTATTTAATTGTGCAAATGACTGAACCCAGGACCTCTTGCATGCTAGGAAATTGCTCTACTACTGTGTTACATCCCCAGCAAAGAAGGCATTCTTTTTAAAATTTAAAGCTACTATATTTCTCTGTAGTTTTATTATACATTAAACTATAGTACCTACACAGTATATGATATCCTTCCTTCTCCGTCCTCGTTTGTATCAGAATTTACCACTTTAAAGTGTCATTGTTTTTTTTCTTCTCATCCATTTCAGGTTCAGGGGAAGGAGGTCTGACCCAGCTCAGTGAGGTTGGAGCATGTTTGTTTTCTAAGTACCTGGCACACAACAAATTTTGAACATACGTTTGAATAAATAAATGAGCGAGGAAAAATAAATCAGGAAATGGAGTTACTAGCATGAGACTTGGGAGGCTCATGTAGCACCAAACTGAAAGAGAAAGTTTGGTGATGTGACAGACAAGGAGGCCTGTGGCTGCCAGCTGTGAGCCCACGTCTACGTCCATGGGAATCTCTAGATAAACAACATAAACCAACAACCGAATGAAGAGAGGGTATCTGAGACTGCAATAATACTGTCACAAGGAGGATTGGGAGGAGCAAAGGGTTGGAAGATTCCCAGCGATGCAAGTGTGTTGGCTGTTAGAGCTTCTGAGGAATGACCAACACTTAAGGACGCCTCTCACTTTGGCACCTGATCCAGCCAAGCCCTTTAGTAGTTTCACTCCTGGTTCCTCCTCGCGCCTTTAGAGGAAACAGGTAAAACCCGGAGAACTGGGTCCCACCTTTCGGGCCGTTCTGAGCATGCGTGTTCCCAGCACTCTCGCGCAAGCGTATTAACTTCGTTCTCGCAGCCGGTACCGCCCATTTCCGATATGGGGGAGCATTTGCTTAGGCTACTTTATCACCTTTCTTGTGGTCCCCCGCCCTCCAGTTCCTGTGGGAGAAGCCTCGCGAGATTGCCTACAGCAGTCCCCAGCGGCGCCATCTTTGTGCCTGGCGAGCTACGGCGCCCGAAGGAAGCCGTAAAGCCGGCGGCAGCCCTAAAACTGGCGGCCAGCTTGCCAAATTCTCCCCTAGACCGGATCCAGGAAATACGAGGCGGGCCACGGTGGGAGGGACGCACTGAGGGAGGAGGGAGGAAAGGGGGCGGCGGCGGCTCACACCGGATCCGGGCTCCGCGCGGCTCGCACCCGAGGGGGGTCGGGTGGGGAAGCGGCGCTGGCCCGGACCCCCCCGCCCCCGCGGGAGCGGCCGACGGGCGTGAGGGCGAGGTAGCGGCCGCACACAGGGAGCGGCGTCCGCCGGGTGAGTGTTTGCGGGGAGGCCCGGCACCTGCCTGAGCCTGGGCGTCGTGGGTGTCCTGGGCTCGTTCCTGTGACCCCGCGTCCGGGTCGGTGACTGTGTGCGCGACTGCCAGTGTCCTGGGGACCCGGCTCGGCCCACAGCCGAGGTGGCCAGAATTGCAGGGACTGCGGGGCTGCTGGAGGTCTGCGCAGGGCCTGGCGCGCCTGAGCCCGCGCCCGCCTGGGACGCCCCAAGAGGCGGAGGGGAGAGGGAGTGGCCGGGGTGCAGGGTGCTTGCAGGCTTGGCATTCGCCCCTCGAGTGCAAGGGACGGTGCTTTTCCTCGCCTCTTCCTGGACGTTGCGAAGAGAGAACCTTTGTGGACGGGCTTCACGCCCCAGCAAGGTGTTTGGAAATGACAACTGTCAGCACTAGGGTAACGTCGGTGGAGGGTATTGAGACAGTGGAGAAGGTTAGTAGTTGTAGTAATTGTTGCAGAAGTGGTTTTCAGATCATTGTTGGCAGGTGTTGAGTAAGGAAAAAATATTGCTTGCGTTCATATAAAGATCACACAAACAGTCCTTTGAGGTCCGACAACGGGTTGGATTTCTTCCTTCTTGGAGTTGTATAGTTTTAACACGTTGTGCTTGTCCCTAAAGTACGTAAAAAAGCAGGATGTGGGGACTAGTGATGAGATGGGAGCAAGGAGAGATATAAGGTAAGCTAGCTGCCTGTAAAATCAAAAGTTGGCAGTGTGGATATGTTAAAATATAAACCATTGTCTGTCTTCACTAAAACATAATTTATTGAAATTCTTTAAGAAAATTTGCTGATTTTGTTCCAGTCAGAGGTTTCCAGTATAGTGTGTTTCTCAGTGATGTTTACCTGTCAGACAATAATTGTGACATATATTTGCTTATGGTTTCTAAAAGAACAACAGATTGACAAACTGACCTTGTTTTGCATACTTTTTCATTTTGGAAGTATAAGACAGTTTACTTTCTTTGCTAACGATTTGCAGTAGTATACAAAACCATTGTAAGAAATATTTTGATCGAGAAAGGGCTTTTGAGATGAGAGTTTAGTTTTGCAGTGTTAAATTATGAAAGGCCATCATCATCCCTGGCATTTGTGATGGTGGCTTTTTGTGAACACTGGAATAATGCAAGCATATTCAGATACCTAATTTTACACCAGTCTGTGATACGAGATTCTACAATATGAGGCATCCCCACTCTCCATTGCCTTTCACCTGGCTTTTGAACCAAGGGAAGTTAGACTTCAGTGAAGGTAAATGCTAAATATTGTACGTGATCTCCATTTTTACGTTTGACATACTATAATCTATGTTCAGTCACCCTGAATTTTCTTCCCTATGTTTATTTGACACATTCTTTTCCTTAATTATAGGGTACACTGTCCAGTTTGTGTTGGAGCTGGCTTTGAGTATATTCTGGCACTGGACTTGGTAGGTAATGTGCATTTGCATTTAATTCTTACAGTTACCATGTGCTAAAAATGTTGTTCATATTGCACACATAAAGACATTATAGTATTCTGTAACTTACATAGCTGGTTAAGTTGTAGATGTAGAGCTCAAAACTCCTGTGTCTGATTGATCCTGGACCATGTGTTCTTTCTATTGTACTTTGCATAAGTTTATGTGCTGACTTACAAATTTTACAAAGATCAAATTTTTGTTACAAAGAAACCTTTTGAGTTTTGTTAATCGTCTTGACAGCTTTCAGTATCCTTGAGTTAAGATAATCTCACACATTTTTTCTTTTCATCTGAGTCCATTTTCCAGCCCGAGTTTGAGCAAAATTCTGCTGATTTGTGAAGATTCTTGAGAGCCGATAGTGACCTGCCTGAAATTCAGGCATTTTCAGTAACTTTACCTCCTGTTTCAGCTTGCCCAAGATACTTCAAAAATGAAATACTTTGTTTATTCAGATCGTGAATTGTATTTCAAATGACATTACTAAAAGTAGCAAGTATTTCTAGGCATTTGAATTAGCTCTATAGGAGTTTAGAGGTATTTGCACACAAACCTCTACCTTCTCCAGCAAAGGGAGTACTTAACAGTCGATTCTGTTTTTCTTTTTAATGCAGTACAGTGGTTTTGGATTCAACTCATGGTTTGCAGAAAATATGGCAGATAATGCGGGAACCAGCATAATCCCTTATGGGGGGTGAGGATTTAAAAACCTTAGAAATGGTATTCCAGGCAAGATCTGAGATGTTAGTCAAAACAGCAGGAACACTTTGCAGGTTGCCACTTTTGTTTCCCAACGGTCTCTGCTGTGCTGTCATTGGCTCTTATCTCTCTAGTAAAGAGAGAAGGCCCACATCTGGGTACAGTTCGTCTGGACAAACAGCTGTAGAAATCGCCAGCAGCCATGAGATTGGGAGACGGTTGATCTGCCAGCCAGATCATTTGGTTAGGTTCACCTGTGTGATTATCTCTGGCTAGAAATTTTAGAAAAGCTGTTACACAGGTTGAGATTTGGTGCTTTATCTTTTTTTTTTTCTTAAGAGCACATTGGTTTAATAAGGACTTGAGAAGATACCAAAATCCTTGCCATGCAGAGACTTTCATTCTGATTTCCGGGGCGGGATGCAGGCACAGAATGAGGCTGGAGTTACCAGCTTGGAGTTGGAATGTGAAGGAAGCCAGTGATATAGGCAGGGAAGGAAGCATAAAGAGGCTTCAGGCAAGTTTGGATTGTGGGAAAGAGGGAGGGGCTAGACTGCATCGGGAGATGCTCCACTTCAGGAGACTGCTTCCTGGGAGCTGGGTAGGCACTAGGAGGATGAGGTCAGGATTCCCAGCAAGATCTGCAATGTGTCGGTAGAGTGGGACTCCCTTCTCAGCTGCTCCTGCCTTACACACTGCGAAGGACACACCCAGGATGACATTGGCCCAAACTTGGACTTATTCTCTGTCCAGTCCAGCTCAATCATAAATTTATCGACTTTTTCTTGATCCACGACACTTAGTTTCTTTTCCGGTAGAGTGGGGCCTAGAGTCTTGTTGATGTGCTCCACCACCTTCAGCCCTCCTTTCCCCAGGTACAAGGATTTGTCCTCATCTCTTAAGACAAGTTTTTGTTTGGCGGAACCGGGGATTGAACTCAGGCACTTGCACTTGCCAGGGAAGCACTTATTCTATTGAGCCATCTCCCCAGTCCGTCTCCATTTCTTAGCTCGAGAGCTTCATAAATACCCGTGAAAGCTCTACTAGGCACAGCTGCTCGGAATTGACCCTTGGCTGTGTGCAGGTCCACCTCCACTGTGAGGTTGCCCCTAGAGTCAAGGATTTCTCAGGCCAAGATTTTCTGCATGGCCATAGCTGTAGGACAGGAGTAGGGGGGCTCTGTCTTTTAAGAATTAAATTGTTTGAGGGCTTAAGAGAAGTATCCTTGTTTCATGGAAATGGAAAAAGAAAAAAAAAGTCTTACATTTCTCAGTACACGTCAGCATGTATATGTGTGATATGGAGTGTGGGACTGTGGTTTAAATAATGCCTTGGAGTCTTGACAGGCAATCTTTGGTCTGAATGAGCAAGTTCTTAATTATAGTTATACTCCCAAGAAAGAGTTAAATATACTTCTTTTACTTATGAAAGTAATTACTCATGGCATTTGTGCTATTAGGATTTTAAAAAATCCCTGACAGATGATAATGTTACTGAATGCTTAGCAAGTAAGTCAAAAAGCCCTTCTGAAATGATTTATATTGTCAGTATATAGAGAAAAGACATCAGGAAATTGCCTTGTATTTATTAAGTTTATTTTTTATACCTTCAGCAGAATCAGCCTCAAATTATTACCATGGCCACAGATAAGTGATTTGTCTTAGAGTAGACCTGATGAAATATTTCCAACTCTCAAACTGAATCCTAAATATTAAAGAACATTTATTAGAGTTTAATTTATTGACAGTTCTATTACTTTTTTTGTCTAGCTCTCCAATGTCCTACTGCCTTTTCTGCCTAAAATTTCTCACTTTAGTTTCCTCCCTTTCTTTCAGACGCTGTTCTTGCCATGACTTGGGTCCTTCCCTTAGTTTTCATTTGATGCTGAAGTTTTTGATAGGGTGGATTCTAACAAAAAGGGCCCTAAAACTTCTCTCAGTCCATTCTCCTCCAAATTTCTGTGCAGTAAGAGTTCAAGAGGGATATGGATATGACTCCTTGTCCAGACCCATTCTTTCTTGAAAAGGCATTTTAATGAGAATAACCAGAGAGAAGGAGACAGTGTCAGGACACCTGCTATGGTATCTCTTCCTCCCTCTCCTTAAGCATTAAAAAGTTTGTGAGAGCCCTTGTGCTGCTAGAGCAGGCACTGTTTCCTCTTCCTGTTCCTCAACCCACTCCATTGACATACTTTTTCCTCCTTTGAGCTGCCATCCCATCCTTCTCTCTCAGGCAGGTTTTGCCACCTTCTTCCTGATCTCTTCCCAGGCTGTGTCTGCCTTTTTGCCCTGCTTGTGTGCTTTTTCCCCTGTTCTGCCTTGATGGATGAGATTGAGGCTGTGGTCCAAGGGACACTCATGTCCCTAGTTAGAGAAGGGAAGATTTCCTTTTTCTACTTCCAGGACTCAATGGGGTAGGGTTAGTTGCTTCCTAAATGCTAAATGGCTTTTCTCAGAGAAACATTGCCTGCACAGGTTTGTCTTTTGTCAATAAAACTTCTGTAACCTTATGGATGTTTTGTGGGCTGGATGGGAAATCTAGTACATTGACTGTTGTTTCAATGAAAGCCAAGACCTGAGGTTTATGGAGGATTTTAAAAACCAGCTTATGTTCCAGAAGTTGTTGGAAGCTATCTCTTTTTTTTTTGATGAGTGAGATGATAGGTTGTTCATCTTTAGCTCTTCAAAATAATTTTAGTCCATTTCAGTTTAATGTTTGTTGTTAAGACAGATCTTCCAGTGCTGTTGAAAGAACAGTTTTATCTTTAAAAGGAATATCTTGTTCCCACAATTTCTTGCTGATGTTTTGAAACTTTTCAAAGGTATTGGACCTCTTTCAGTTATTTTATCCTAGTTTACTAAGTGGTAAATATAAAGTGTCTTTGTTTCACCTGATTATTTGAAAGTAAAGTTTTATTAATTTGTTGACCTTACATAGTGTCATCCCTGGGTTGTTCAGACAATGAAGTGCAAGATTTCAAAGTGATAAAAGCAAAGCCAAATATATTTTGAATTTGTTCTCTGTAATTGTGTTTAGTCTTACCTTGGTTGAAGGAAATATTCCTAATAAAAGGCAAGATGGTTCTTTTTTTCTTCTAACCACCATTTTGTTTTAAAAAATGAATTTGGGTGAGCACTCTATTCATTGTATGAGTTTACCAAATTCTTTACATACAGTGTGTTGATAAAGAACAGGTTCTCCAGGGATACAATGCTCAAAAGTTCCAATCTTCTGACATTAACTAGCTGTCTGTTCTTGGGCAAATTGCTTAATCTCTGATCTGTTTCCTCATTTTTTTGAAATAGGGATAATGTAATATCTACCTCACGTGAGCACCAAGTGAGTTAGAAGACAGATTGTATTTAAAATGTGTCCATGCTACATGCCCACCCAAAGTTATTCCTATTACATCGTCATTGTTATTATCATTACTATTATTACTGCTTTAGCTACCTTGTGAGATGATGCCCCTTCTTTCTTGGTGGTGGTTTCCTTGGTAGTAATTTCTTTTTTCTTTCTTTCTATCTATCTAGCTAGCTAGCTAGCTAGCTTTTTTTGTTTTGAGACAGGTTCTCATTATGTAGTTCAGGCGGCCTTGAACTCACTTGTAGCTCAGGCTGGCTTCAATCTTGTGATGATCCTCCTGCCTCAGAGTTGGAATTACAGGCATGGGCTACCATGCCCAGTTCTTGCTAGTAATTTCTTTCTTTGTTTCTTTTTTGATCTTTTGGAGACAGGGTCTCACTATGCAGTTCAGGTTGGCCTTGAGCTCACTTTGTTGCCTAGGCTGGACTCAAACTTACAATAATTCTCCTGCCTCAGCCTCCCAATTCTATAACTGGAATTATAGACATTCACCACCATGCCCAGCTCTTGATAGTAATTTCTTAAAAAGTTATTGAGGCTACCATGGAGAATAGTATATTAACTGCTAGATATATACACAGGTGACCATAATGAAAGAAATCTATAGACTATGAATTTATTTCAGTAGCATTATTCCTATCATGTTACGAACTATACCTCTTTGATGTATGAGCAAAACTAGGTTGACTATGCCTTTATTAAAATTGAATAGTCATGGCATCCATATGGCTAGAGTCTGTATAGAGGGAGACTCAATTTCTGGATACTGATTTATAAAGACTTTAAATTCTTTTTTCAAATCATTTTCCTGTAGAAAAAATGTTACATATGTTTTTCACATTCCCAGGCCAACCCACAATACCTGAATTTGAATACTGATAGTACTATAAAAACTAACTTCTGTG